GCCTACTCCATTGACCCTGATCAAATTTGTCCAGTTTGCAACAGAAACGAAAATGGAACTTTCCTCCATATTATTTATGACTGTCCGATCTACACTGTTATGAAACAAGGAGCTCCATGTCTGAGGAATTTGGAAACAATACAAAAAATAACAATCAGTGATGCTAGAATGATTTCTGAATATATTTGGAATATCCATGAACTGAGATCATATATTTCGAATGAATAAACAATAATTGTATAACTTTCTTCTTCTATACCTATTGATATTTTTCCTTGTTCTCGGTTGGTTTTTAAATGTTCAATCGTTTTTCATTAATTTTCAGAGTACTTACATACATATTTTTTTTCTCTTATATACTCGTTGCTGTGAACTTGTTCAAGAAGCAATGAACTATTATTATTATTATCATTTCATCAATCTTTTGGACAAGCACTCAAAATACGTTCATGAATACTAGAACACCCTAACAGAACACGGCTCCATTTCTTACATGAATTATCCGAATAGAATTACTGAACTGTCATGTAGTATCATAGACTACATCTTCATCAGTAAAACAAATAGCCTGCGAAAAGTTCAAATAACTCCAGCCATAATTGAAACAAATCAGACCATTACGCCGCCTGAAAATATCAAAAAATGAGAGAGATCATGTTTATCACACAGACGTGAAAGGAATTAGAAAAACAAACTTCCAACGATTGAATTCATTTTTGGATGAGGAAAGGTGGAACTGCAATAAAACAAACACAAGACATGACCTTTTCATGAAAAAAACTCAATAAGAATATAGGGTGTCCCATAAGTTATAGATCAAAACAAGTGGAGTTGTAGGGGGTGTGATTTGTGATCAAACTAACGGTATATGTTGTCATCAAATTGTTGATGGTTTGAGGGTTATTCAAGTTTTCTGGAAACTGCGACCTATTCGGAAAAAATTAATTACAAAAAGGCTGTTTTGAATAACTCCTTGTTATATATCATTTCGGAATATGTATTAAATGGGCAACTTTTTCTCATGATTGGTTATCTTTGTGGGATATTTTTCGAATCTGCCAGCGGCATTTGAAAATCGACTTAAATATTTCAAAACTGAATTCTCCTCAGGTAATTGATAAGAAGTAATACATGTCATTAAATTATTACTGGGAAAAAATCACAAATGTGACATAGTTTCATTGTTATTAATTCTTTTCATAAAAATGAAAAAACATTGATAACTTTGAACCATCAACAATCGGATAACCACATATACGGTTAGTTTGTTTGGAAATGACTCCCCTACCACCTCACCTCTTTGTATCCATGACTCATGGAATACCCTGTATAACATCATCCACCAAAGGATATAATCTGAACAGAACTGAATGAATAACTGAATGGTCTAATCAATTCAATGAAAAAACAGTTCACTCTCGAGAAGATATTAATAACGAATCATACAGAAGAATCGGCAGAATCGGAAGGCAGAATATGATACATCAGGAATAAACTAATAAAATCAACAAAAAATCAATATCACAAAAAAAATTGGACATATTCGATGGTAACTGTGAAACAACTTGGCGACTGATGAAATCTCAAATAATCATAATAGCAAAGAATGTATTCCAAACATCATGAACGAACGCAAGGAAAAAATAACAGATTACTATTCTGAAGCAGACGCATTCAATGAATACTCCATTAGTATAGGGAAAAAATGGCGAACCAAATTTATAATACTATAAATCCCCCTTCCAATTTCCAGAACGATTTCTCCATCAGTCCCACAATATTCTTTAACTCTGTCAGAAATAATGAAATCAAAAGTAATTGGAAAGCCAACAAGACATTTCGAAAAACCAACATGGATTGAAGAATAACTCAAATACAGAAAATGTCATACTAGAGGTCACAAACAAAGGTGTTGAGACCTTGGATGGGGCGAGGAAGTACCTGGCTGTATTTCTCGATTTAGCCAAGGCTTTCGACACAGTATCACACAAGATATTACTAGACAGTCTATATCATTATGGGATTCCTGGACCTGCTTTGGATGTTTTGCGAGACTATTTATCAAACAGAAAGCGGGAGGTAAGAGTAGACAATGTCCAGTTCATTGTCAAGTCATAAGAAATCACAACTAGGATATCACAGGGTACTGTCTTGGGACCAATACTCTTTTGGTGTGATACTCGACCAACACATGAGGTGAAATGAGCACGCCATGTGTTTTACGAACAGGTTAGGAAAATCAACCCACAAATTCCCTACATTAGAAGAAATTTTGAATAGAAAACACATGTGCATTCCATACTATTCTCACTAGCAGAATCGGTCATACATTATTACATTCCCTAATAGCACACAACATCCTAGGGACGTCCCTATTTGGTACAATTCAAGTCCGAATGTCCTGGATCAAAAATGAGTGTCCTTGGGACGTCCCGTACCGTACATCACATGCAATTACCGAGCAAGGACGTCCACGAAATGTCCTAGCTAGTACATCATTTCAAATGTCCTAGAAATAGCATCCCTTAGAAGTCCCACATGGTACATATTGTAGAATGTCAATGCAATTCCTTCAGGGACATCCATCGGATGTCCCGAGCAGTACATATTCTGGCATGACTTCAGATCTTATATAATGTCCCTTCTAGTCAACCATGAAATGTCCCTGATGGTACATTCCTTAAAATGTCTCCGCACAGACGCCCTCAATATTTCCAGGATCGACTGCAGGGACATCCTTCGAATGTCCCTCAAGGATATCCGTCGGATATCCCAATTGGTACATGAACTGTACTCTTTCAATGTCCAAGAAATGACGTCCTACGGATGTCCCAGTCGGTACTTTCAATATGTTGTTTCTGCGTGGACGTTAACATCTCACCGACGAATGATTGCTAGTCGGCTATAAATACTCCTCGTCAATGTCCTTCACGTAAGTCCATTAGACATCCTTGGGACATTTTTTCTGGATATGTTGGGACCTCCTACGGACCATCAACTCAACTGAATGTCCTCATCAGTTATGCAAGATCTGGTCCTAGAGGGACCCAGAAAAATTCAAATTCAAGAATGATTCGTACGTCACTGGGACATCCTATGGCCATCCAATTGATATCCCTCAGCGTTGCTGATAGGTTGTCCTACGGATGTCCTGAGGGTTTTCTCCGTAGTACTTGATGGTCCCTAGTTGGTCCTCAAGTGGGACATTTGTGCGTCGCACAGACGTATAATGGACGTCCACGGTACCAAATTCGAACGTCCTATGGACGTCCTGAATGTCCCGTATGTATCCATGGAACATTATCGTGTTATTAGGATTACTATTTGCATTGGGCATTAGGGTTACTATTGTGGGGGATGGGGTATCTTAGACCATGTTTTGCGCAGCTACCAGGCTATACTAAACACTATTATAGATATAATATTCAAAAAACATAGACTATTCTTACCGAAAGAGAAATCTCAGTTATAATTATCAAATATTTGTTAACGTCAAATTTGTTTATAATCAATTAGCCATATTCATAATTGAAAAGGCTTATTCATCAAAATCGTATCTGTTTTTATGCTTTATTTATAAACAATAAATGATTTATTACTGTCATATTTGTTCATTGTGAACAACATTTTTTAATATTTAACAATTCATCTATTACGCAGATTCATGAAGTGAAAATCAATAAGATGAATTTATAATTATAATGTGATTTGGTGATAATTAACAATGATACAGTGTCTGTTGATAAATCTATGTGTTTATTCATTATGATATACATTTGTTTATCATAAATATTCGTGATATGAAGGATAACAATGGATATTTCATTTTATTCTTCGTTTGGTAATTATAACAATTCATTTGGTTATAATTAAAAAACTGTCTTGCGCATGGGCCATCATTTTAGTATAGCTTCCATCTTAGATACCCTGTGCATCTTTGTGAAATCGTTCCTGATTTACCTGTGATTTCGACCAACGCGAAAGTTATGAAGTGTGATGGTTATATTCGTCCAATTCCTTATATGACAGTGAGTGTTTGTTTACATCTGGACATGTATATGTCAACAAATCTACTTCATTTTCACTGTTTCTTATGATATTTTCATTGCAAATAAATAATTAAATGAATGTTGAGAAATATGAACACTGTTTTCTTTTGTACTCAGTATACTGTAACTTGAAGTGTAAGATATGACGTATGTGGTATGGTTGAACTCAGAAAAATATGGGCTTTCAATTTTTGATATAAAAATATACCCTTTCAATTCAAAAAAAATATCGATGACGTCATATCTTGTAAGGTGGTGGGGGAAAAAATTATTTTTTTGTGAAAAAAGATGGAAGACTGAAATACAAAATCGACCTGTCCGAGCTTTACCTCAGAAAATAATTATATCGTAAGATAATGGAGCGTTTCCGGGTCATTCTTCAAAACGGGGACAAATTGACAAGGATATTCAATAAGAATGAAAAATGTGTCAAAATCATTCAATATTCATCCAGTTGTCGTATTTGAACATAATATATCTCATATTGAACAGGCCAAGAATTGGATAATTTTTTAATCGATTTATGCTAAAAAAACTAAAAACTCTTCCCATGGAGTTGACGACCTCACCCATGGAGTTGACGATTTCATCCATGTAGTCGAAAACATCAACATAAACACAAAATTTATTTTCTGTTATTACCCGAAAATGAATAACAATCTCATTAGAGTTTTGTTTTGATCATATAAATGTTAAATATAAGTACCTTCATAAAATGAATGAAGATTCCATGGAGTTGACCAACATAAAAATGATGCAGAAAATACTACATGTGCTTTCAGAAACTCCAAATGAAAAACGGTTGAGTCGTCTAAAAATTAAAAACATTGGAAAAATGAGAAAAAAATGAAAAATTTTCCGATTATTTGATCCGGAAAACAGCTTCCATTTCAAAGTATTGCACATTAAAATTGGATCATTTTTGAAGAGGAATCGATTCCTTCGTAATACCTGAGGATTCGCCACTTTCTTGATTATACAATTGGAATCCACCTCAGATAGATCTTCTTCTTGAGGCCAGATGAAAATCAAATTATTTTTGTTATAGGATACTCGTCTCATGAAGGTTATTTCATAAATAGCTCCATGAATAACATTTACTTGACCAATATAATGAATCCTTTTGAGAACTTCTCCACGGGAAATGTTCTTCGGAAATCTCTGCTACCATACCTTCACTAGCAATACCAGTCAGATGAACTAGACAAGCCCAGTCAGCACATTCTTTCGTTTTCAACCTCGAAAGATGTCGAACAGCACTTTATCAAAACTCCTTCATCCATAGAACGGCTAGGCTCTGGAATTCATTGCCTGAGGAGGTATTCCCAACAACATATAATCTCCAGAAGTTCAAAAAAGTTCCTATCCCTATCCTCCCTAGGAACGCACGATGTTCTTTGAACATTATAGGCATTCCCTTTCTTGCGCTTCAAGCGATAAAAAAAAACAGTTGGCGTCTAACCTCCTTTGATATTTTTTGCCCTTTTGTTAGTTCGGCAACTTTAATTCTTGGAGAATCTCGATTTATTTTGATAGATTGACTTTTCATTCTGTAGTATTTTGTTTTGTATCATATTGCCTTATTCCTTCTGTACATATCTCGTTCTTTTTGGACATTTTTCAGTTTTCTCACTGTCCGGGAACGTTTTCTGAGCACTCTTTTCCTTCTCGCAGCAGATCTTTCTAATGAGCCTGGAATATTCTCAGGATGTTCATTAAATGAAGCATCCAATCGTGTTGTTGTTGATGGTGGAGTAGTTTCTTCTAGGAGCCTATTCAAATTTTCCTGAGTCCTTCTTTTTTTCATATTATTCTGAAGATGTTTGTCTCCAGCGTTTCCTTATCTGTCTTTTCTCTCTGTCGTTTCTTCCGTTGATTGTTTTGATAGAGATGTATAGAAATGTTCTTACTTCCATCATTGTTTTGATTTTTCCTGCATTTTTTCGTTTGATGGTATCTTTCACGTTCTTTGCGCTTCGCTTCTTCATATAAATGAGGATCCAGTCTTATTCTTTCTCTCTTTCTTTGCTCAGACTCCCTCTTCTATTATCCTCGTTTATCTTATGATTTTTCCTTTGTATTAACCATTATTGCTTCAATATAGCTACACCGAATAAAAAAATCTGATGAAATATGAAAATATGATGTGAAATAGAATATGTGCATCGCTTCTTATCACATTTTGTTCAATTGTAATAATCATCTAAACTTGAGTATCATTGAATCTGAGCACATATGTGATGTGGAATTTCAATCGACGCAATTTTCCGAAGTGAAACAACTCAATGGACTTGTTGTTCAACTCCATAGTCATCTGAAGACATGGAGTTGATGTCCATGGAGTTGGTGTTCTATAGTTGATATTCAAATATTCACACTGCTATTAAACCTGACCTCAAATTATTTCTCATGCATGTAAGACATTATCAGTTATACATTACTAGGATATTCAACGAATCTAAATGGACTCAGTCTATTTGTGATCAACGACATGGAGTTGATTGTTAATAAAAATACTCACCTTGATTTCTAACTTTGTCTCCAGAATCCCGAATAAATTGCTTAAAGTTTACACGTTTCCCTGACAATCTTCAACTAACTGCTCTTGCTTGAAATGATGACACCTTGAAACATTACCTCAGGTGACACCTATCGGTAGTTCTGACAAAAATAACAGGCGTCCATGGAGTTTAGTTTCAAAATGGTGTCACATATTATTCATACATTTTACAATAACATTTCGATGAAACTTCCTCTTTGCTTACACTCTCGTTATTGTTGAATCCCTTGAGAATATATTAACTGAAGAATAGTTTCCTAATATGGTTTATTTAGGGGTTTTTGATTGATTCCACTTCACCCATAGCAGCTGGTTACAGTCCATGGAGGTGATTTCAAAGGAGTTTTTGCTTATAAAAATGGAAAAATATATGATTTTTTTCGTTCTTTTTTCAACACATGTGAAGCACAAGTCATAAGCTATCATCTTCAATGTTTTTCAAGTTTCAACCTATTTGTTATATATTTTTCACATATGAGTTACATCATATTGTCCCCGTTCTGGAGAATGACCCTTCCACACTTTCTGAACGCACTGTATAAATAATATTCGTTAACTGTTACTAAATTTGTAATTGATATAAGGCTTAGAAATACCCCCTCGCGGAGAGATCCACGAGTGGTGATAATACATCAGGAAATTTAATAAATCAATAAGCAATTTTCTGAAATGAAGACATTGAATTATAACAGCGAACAAAATATTTATTCATTATCAATAAAAGGTTTCTTTCCATGCTGTACTTATGTATGAATATTTGGTTACTAAAAACAAAGAATTTGAAATGATAAATATTGTTTGGTGTGGGTGAAGAAATATATATTCTCAGTTAACTTATGAATATTTTCATGAAATAATCATAATTTAACCATGCACGAGGCTTATTCATGGAGGTGTGAACAAATAATTTGTTTTTTTCAAACAAACGTTTAATAAGCCATATTTCAATAATGGATTTGGTAACAGTTAATTATATTTATTAATTATAACCAAACTGTTCTTTCAGTGATAATACCCTTATATTGAAATATGTGACGGAATTCATGTGTCTGTGTCTTAGTTCTATATTTCTATGTTTTTATTCATTGACTTTTTGTATTTTATTGTAGATTCAACTGAAGTGAAGAGCACTGTGCTAATGAAGTTTGATATTCACGAGTGAACAACTATATAAAGAAACCTCCTTAAAAGGTGTCTGTATTAATTACATTGTTTGATGTGGATATTCCATAGGAAAAAAAAGTATGATGAAAAAAAAAGCAAAAACTAGATTTGCAGCGAACTTATAGGTTCGAACCTACCGTTATATTAAAAACACCACACCCAAAGATACGTCTTAATTTTTGGTCCAATGCTCCTCAATATGATACCCCTCACAATTGAAAAAATTATTAGTAAGAAAAGGTGACATAAGTCGAGCTTGAAATATTTCATGAGTCAGAATCAAAATCTCATCATGAGTATTTTCTAAAATGAAAAAAAAAAACTCTCCTTCTCTTCGTTTGCACCTTCCATACTGATAATTATTTTACTTGTTACTTTCCCTTCTAGGTTTTCTAGAATTGCTTGATGATTGATCTACCATATCACTCACTACTATTTCGGCAGTATTATAACAAAGTTAGTACTATTCATTATATTCACTAGGAGGGAGAGAGACATGTCACAAAACAAGCATTCAACATGCTTAGGTGCTATCTCCTTCTTTCATCTGTGGCATGAATCATTGACGACATTTTGTAAAAATATTTGTAGAACACTTAGACTGGATGAACTTAAACTTCATACTCCAAACGTCTTGGAATTTCTAAGTGCTGTTATAGAAGAAAATTCGAAATGGAATCATCATATTGACAATTCATGTAATAAACTGAATAGCGTACCTTGAGTTTGAGGATTGTGGCAAAATATCTCAACAACCCAACATTGAAGATTGTGAATCATGCACACTTTGAAGCAGTTTTGAGATATGGAAATATTTTTCCTTGTAGCAGTAGTAAATTCTAGAAGGTATTAACAGTTCAGAAACGTGCTGATAAAAACATATCAAATTTGAGTAATCTGGAAACGTGTAGAGGAATCTCTTAACAGAATAGGATTTTAACAGCAAGTACAATATTTATGTAAAAGTGTTTGCTTTCTTTCTTGTCTTTCAAACCATGGGAACTATCAAGTCCAAGCAATTCCAAACACTCTGTCTCTTTCAATTCATCCCAACTGAAATCACCAAATAGCAAGAATTCATTAGGACCTGATGTTCATGAAGTACCATCAACGAGTCAGAACGTAGGTAATGGAAAAGACTTCTGATATATCTGAATGAAAACTAGGAAGTGATAAAGATGAAAACAGTTTTGCAAAAATTATGTCAGATAGCGAGTTTTGCAAGAATTTAAGAGAATGAAGCATTCAACACAATGTCAAGCGAATCGCACTGAGTGTAATTTGTCTATGTTTCTTACTCGGTTTCCTAGTTGAAACCAATCACAAAATTCACAAACTGAACACTGTAAATAACAAAAGTAGGGTTATGTGGATCATGTTGATGACGTTCTTCTACTTTTTGCCACACTGCCCAATGAGCACTAGCCAGGATATTCTTGAAGCTTTATAGTTTCATGAAGGCATTATCTCATATCCTTCCTTGTAACAATTTTATTATTTCCGAAGCTTTGTTGTCATACCTAGGAACAAATAATCATAGGATCGGATTCGATTATGTATCGATCTACAATGAGGGCGATTACAATCAGAATGACGGTGTCATTGTATATATCAAAGACATTTACAAAGATTCTCTGAATCATGAAATAATAAAAATGGGCGATATAAAATTATTGAGCGTGAATATACAAGTGAAAGGGCAACAAATCTTTGTAAATTCGCTTTATAGGCCTTATGCAACATGTCCTGCGGTTTTCAATGAAAACTTGAAATTATTTTTGGAAGAAAATATCGAAGAGAATGAAAATATATATTTAATAGTAGGTGATACTAATATCGATATCAAGTCAAATAAAGTTGATAGTGATGAATACTTGAATATAATCAGTGAAGCAGGTTTCACATCAGTTATAAACTCATATACTAGGAAGAGAAATGGGTCAAAGTCTTGTATAGACCATATTCTCTTGAAAAAAAGTAATGGAAATCCTAAATGTAAATCATTTGTTTCGGAAGTCGATATAACAGACCATTTCCCTATCATCGCTTCAATAGATATAAAAAAAGATCTATTATCATTACAACCTGAAACGAAAAAAATTAAGAGATTGAATGAAAAACAAATTAATGATATGATGGAGAGAGAAGACTGGCATAACATTTATAGAACAGAGAATTTAGACATTGCAACAGAAATTTTAATCTCTAAAATAAAGGATGCTATTAGAGTTGCTACCACAGAAATATTATATAAAACCAAAGTGAAAAAACGTCAACCGTGGATAACATCGGGGTTAGTTATTTCTTCGCATACCAAACAAAAGCTTTACAAAGAATT